GACATCTTGAGCCTGAGGGATCTTCTAAGCAAACTGAACAAGTCTGAGGGACTCAGATGACATCGGCACTAGGGATGTCAGTGGTTAACCTTCCTTGGTGATGCTTACCGATTAAACTGGTGACCCAGCTGGGCTGGAGTAGCACCCCGCCCACTCCTGTTTAAGTGGTTAACTAATGAAACAACATTTAATCAATTGATTGATTAAACAGGATTTTACATCCCTAGTCATCAACTCTACTAGGCTCCAGCTAAATCCTGAATATCAATAGGGATGTTGCTAATCTGTCTCGTGCCTCCATTCCCATGTGCCTTTTTCCTTTCCCCCTTATTTCTTCTTTTTCTATCCCTTTCCTTTTGCCCTCGGTCTAATAAAAGTTTGATGGCTTGTTACTGATGTAATGTTACTGTAAGCTTGCGGCATGAAAAAATAACTAAAAGCAAAGCTCTGGACATCCTGACACTGGTACAAGTTTTCCAGATCTGAACAGCTGATGAGATCATGTGTTGTGACTCTATTTCCAGCTACGAAGTTGCAAGTGAAAGTTAGCAGCATGGACCAAAGCTGCATTTTCTCTTTGCTGTTCTCTCTCCAATTACATGTCTGTTTGTCAGGTTTGCCTTTTAAGAAACTTAACCAGAAGCGGCAACAAGGACAGCTCAACTCATCTCAGCTATCTTTTCTCTTTTCATTGAGAAGACAGTTCAGGACAGTTATCACTATTTTTATACCATCTAAAAGATTAGTAAAGAAGGGTTTTTACCCTTCTAAAAACTCTCTCCAGCACTGGGAAAGGGAACAAAGAGTGCTATGAAAATGAAAGCCTAATTTAATACTTTACATTTTAAATGTTTAACTGTTTTTGCTTCTTTTCTGTATCTTTATTACAAGTTTGAAAATTATTTTTAATGCTGTGTTTGCCACTGTACTAAGTAGGCAGAGGCCTCTGTAAAACAAACCTCATTTGAATCTGTTTAAGTTTGAACCATGACTGGGTAATGTTATCATCTTTGACTCTTTGGGTCCATGTATACCATCTTCAAGTATCAGTAAGCCTGCTGGAGGTCTCAAGGCAGGGACAAGGTTTTCACTCTTGCTGGAGATCAGTCTCAGCCCAAGTTTTTACTCCTGCACAGCAGAAAATGTCCCGTCCCCACCCCCCACAGATTCTCTCTGTTTCTTTGCAGAAATCTGCTTCTACGGAGAAGCAAAGAGAAGCTGCTCTGGTTAAACTTACTTAGACGGAACAGTGAAATTCAGACTCAAGGCTTTTAAAGGATGCATCATCACCCTTAACGTTTGATTTTTCTTGTCAAACATTTAACATATTTATTCATGTCTTTCATAATTGTGTAATACAGTAAATGTAAAATTTGTGTATGAAGAACATTACAGAGGAGGCACTGTAACTGCTCTAGGCAGAGGAAAAAAAAAAAACAATAGTCAAAGCCTCCCTAACACACAAAAGCTTGATCTATTAAAGTTCTACTGCTGAGGAGAAAGAAGGAAAAAACATGACATAATATTAAAAGGAAAATCGACACACATATACACACACTGTGGATTGGGGTCTATTAGGTCTTGATGTGAAATCTAAATATGTTTTTTCCTTCGGTAGGAGCAGATACACAGGCAGGACAAATTAATTCCAATGAAAGTCTTCAGGGAACACAATATACACTTTTCCCCCCCTGAAATATTTGGTTGCTTTTCCACTTACAGTAGATCTGATTAAGTCAGCTTCGGGATTTGAGTCAGTCAGAAAAGAGGATTCTGAATGTCTGATTCAACATACTTCCTCAGTTGGGTTGTTGTTGTAATGCATAATTCATTTCACTAAGGGACTTAGGGAGAATTTTTCAAAGGTGTTCAAGTGACTAATGATGCAGTTAAGTTCCCAGTGGGATTTTCTAAAGTGCCTATGTAAGTTAGGTGACTAACTCCCTTCAGAAAATCCCACTAGGTCTTTAGTAGTAACCAGAGTCTGAGTTTCCAAAATTCAGCCTGCATGTCAACAAACTGAATTTTTACTCCTATGGCTTCAGACTGTGATCTAATCAGAACTCAGAATCTGACAGGCTAACCTTAGGCTGGACGTCTTTACTGTCTCTTGCCTAGTGGGACGTATCACAAGTTAACACAGCCCAGAGCTGTCTGAACAAGTCTGAAGCATGCAGTAACTGACATTGTTTCCACGCCATGCTGTGAATCCCTTTGAGGAATCTGGGGACAGCTGCACATGGCAAAGCCCCAGAAGTACAGCTTCCAAAGGAACATGGACTTCTGTGGAGGAAGGCTTTGTAGGGCTTGAAGATCTGTGCCTGTCACTTCATTGAGTATTTTGCTTTAGTAAAAGCTGAGTTAATAAATATATCTGAAGAAATGGGTTGTGCCCACGAAAGCTCAGGATACTACCATTTACATGTTTTTGTTAAGTCTTTAGGTGCTGCTAGACTATTTGTTGTTTTTTTAATAAATTTAGTAATACCACAGTGCACACAACAACAGTCCAGACAAACTGCTTTATGGGTAAAACTGGGCAGAATTTTGGTCAAAACAGCTTTTTATTTAATCAAAATGGACACTTTTCACTAATTGTATCCATGTTGAGGACATTTTCTTTGGGTATGTTTCTCAGGCCTAGAATGGAATTTCTGGAGAGGGAGAGAGGAGAGAGAGAGAGAGAACAGCTCATGGTAGCATAGCCAATAACACAGTGATGGACAACCTAATATGTGAGCTGCATGAGTGGCCTTCTTTTAACTCAGTGAACCACAAGATTGTCATAGTTAAGGTCTCCTGGGATAGGGTAGTTTTGCCAACTGAATTTCTGGAATTAGAATTTGCGAGGTGTGTTGACTAAACCACAGCAGTGCTTTGACTGGATGCACAGGGAACACTCAGCTCTCACAGTCAATGTTGTGTGCAATTGGCACGAGCCTCACTTCATGTGCCCTTGCCTTCTGTAAGAGTCACTTTAGTAGCACTGATACAAAAACAAACAAACAAAACAACTGATAGTGATGGAAACCTGTGGATTCTGGGAACCCTCTGTGTGAGCAACAGAAAACAAAATATGTTGCGAGCCACAGATAGAACCCTGATGGGCTGAAGCTTGCCTAGCACTGCAGTAGCTAGTCACTCATCAAGTATATGAGAGACACAAGTTTAAGACCCTTCTGTAGACCAGGAACCTGAATCTGTATCAGCCACATCCCAGTTAAATGATCTAACCATCAGGCTGTAGAATTAGTTACTTGCTGTCTTATTGAATATTTAATTATTATACCAAATGGACCAGTTCCTGCAGGGGAGCGTAAGAGAGCCCTACCAATCAATAGCCCAGCACTCTTCTGGATTGTGGGAAACCCAGGCTCAAGTACTTGCTATGTTTCAGACAGAGCAAGGACTCAAAACTGGAGAGTATTCTAACCCCTGGACTAGGTCTCCACCTCTTTGTAATTGTTGTTTGTTTGTGTAGGTGAAAAATTTAAAAAAGGTCTTGGTTTTGTCTCAGTGTGGAATGAAACCAAATGCTGAAACATTTAAAGTTTTTGTGGAAGTCTTGTTTTCTGCTATTTATTTAGGCTTGATCCTATAAGGTGCTGAGCATTTTGGTGCACTCCAATATTAATTATGTGTTTGAACATCAATTTAAAATTTGAGTGGAGTTAAATTTTAGGTCAAAATATCTTCTCAGTGTCTCTTTTTAATGATAGAGTTTTGCATCTCTAGTTATAAAGCAACCATCTACAGATATGTTACCTCTAAAATGTATTTTACACTAAAAATAAAACAAAAGAAACAGTGGGTTAATATGCTATGTTTCATCTTTGATGTTGAACAAAAAGAGTTTTAAGATGGGAAGACACATGATTAGTGTCTTGTGGGAAGCATAAAGGATCTGTCAAAAAAGGCTTTCTTTCTCAACAGATCCCCCTCTAGACTGCCGCTTTTTGCCGACAAAGTGTTGAATTGGCAAAAAGGCAGCCATTTTTTATGCAAATTAAGTGTGGGATATTTAAATCCTTGTTTCATTTGCAATGTTGACCAGCCTAATCTGCATCCCTTTGCCGACAGAAGGATGCAGTCTAGACATACCCCAAGTGTAGCCAGTATCATTTGTTTAACAGAAAGGCAAAACTATATGTTGACCAATTATGGAACAGCTAGCCCATAAAGAATGTTTTTCCCCCCCCAATTCCTATCAGTTACAGTTTGGCTTATGGCTAGAAGCATGACATTTTATACTCTCTGGCTTTTTTTCCTTTTGGTCTAGTCTAACTATGGATATTCTCAAATGTTAATCCCTTTTTAAAGTCCTATGAAGACATTGACCTTAATTATGTGTAGGCATGTAGGAATAGATTTCTATTGGTAAACATTGATTTTACCATATACACACAGACCAATGAAAAAATGGGTCCCTCAATAATAATCAAAATGAACAGGTAAGCAATGAATGAAAAATGCTGCCCAAGAACTCAATTTAGAGTTCACTTTACGGATGTTTATATATTTTGATATGTGATGCTGACAGCGTGTGTTTTAATGGCTATAATGGTTTACTCTCAACATCTACTGTGATTAAATAATTATTGTCTTCACTCTCCCATAATCTGCACATGCATACTGCAACAGCAATAATTTACATTTAAATAATTTAAATAAATGTTTAAGACTCATAATTTTACATAACTGTAAACATTTTAATCAGTAAAACTCCAAAATGCTTAAAATAAACAGATGTTATTGTAAAAATTGAATTCTGCCAAGCCTAGTTATATTTTTGGCAGTGAGTTCTACGGGTTTACTATTGTGGTTCTTCAAAACAAGATCTCATTTATTGGGCCATAAATTTCAAAATGATGAATAACTGGAGCCCTCAAAAGAAAATGCAGAAAGGATCATTCATATGTTTTCAAGCATAAAATATATGTTTTGTAATTTAAGAGGGTTTAAAGCCTACTATAAACACAAAGTCCATAAAAGAGACTTACCACAACTATATATCGAGGCCTAAACTGGATAGTTCCAAACAAACCCAATATGACGATTATTATGTGTAGAAAATTTCCAAGAATAGGAGCCCACTGGAAGCCAAGAAAGTCAAATATCTGCCTCTCTAATGCAGCCATCTGTAAGGAATCACATAACAAGACATTAACAGTTGAATTTGAATTTTGTAACAATATTCGTTATCATTGTATCGGACTCTCCTAGACTGACCTGGACTGGATTTCTGTGCTTATTGGAATTCTGGGAGCTAAACTAATAACGGAACACTTTCGCTTAACTTGTACACAATTTCTAAGTTATATTACCTCTGGGACTTATTTCAGTATTGTCTCACAGATTAGCACCAAACATTAATGAATTCTCATCCAGAATTAACTGGTTTTGGTTTGCTAGGAGTAATGTTTGCTGTTATTTATTTAAATACAAAAATAGTTTTCAAACAGCCATCAAAATAGATAATGTGTGTCTTCATACTTCCCTCAGTGTTATCATTTTTCCTTCCCTATTTCTTTCATTTGGTTGTAATCTTACTATATTGTAAAATCTTTGGTCTCTCACCATGGATGAAATTCTTACCCATGCTTTATTCTACTGACATGGGTAAATTGGCAAGAGCAATGAAGAATGGTTCAGAAAGCCCTAGATCTGGCTAGGAGAGAATTTCCTTGGTATAGGAACTGAGGAAGCTGGCTGTCCTCCACACTTCAGCTCAAGCCCTGGCATAGAGACAGAGGAAAGAAGGATATGATACGGGCAGGGACATACCATGTGGTGCTTAGAGGCAGCTGGGAACCAACTGACTTTTAGTCTTCAGGTCAAACCACTCATGTAAGATAAGAGACACCCAGATTCAATTTCCTCTTTGCCTCAGAGAGAGAAAAATCCCAACAAATATCTCTCATACCTCTCAGGAGAGTGCTCTAAAATGTGGGACACCCTGAGATGGTAGCTTCCTCAGTTATACTGTTGAAATTGTTCCACTTCAGATAAATAATGGAGAATTAATTCCTTTATAGCCTGATGACTAGAACACCCCCTGTGAGGTGAAAGACACGGTCTCCAGTTGCTCTACTCCAATGTCTAACTATGTATCCAAAGCAGTTTCAATAAGAGATTGAGGGAGCCTCCACATCAGAACACTGGTTAGAGCATGCTCCTTAGAGGTATAGGAGATCCCTGTTCATAATCTCTTGCACATATGTGCTAGAGCATTAGTGAAGCTAAATGTTTAGATCACAGTTCCAGAGCCACCTTTTTATTGTTTAAACTCACTGTAACAGAGCAAAAATATTTGGCTTGCACAGTATTTAAAATTCAAAATCTTAAAGGTGCAGCACACCCAAAACAAGAGACACAACAAAAATTAGTCAGAGACTGAGCAACGTCAAAGTAAGTGCAAAACACTTTTTGAGTACATACCCTACTCTCCTACTTCAACTCTAGAATGTTACTAGTGTGCTTGATTCTAATGAGGCAATGTGAAGTATAGATGAAGCAAAAAATATTAAGATCCAAAATCTGAGAAACTCCTATGGGCAATTAGGCCAGAGAGCCGACAGCATGCATGAGCCCCGGGTAAGGTCGGGGAGGGGGGGAGGAGCTCTGTGCTCCCAGAAGAGGTGGGGCTTCAGGTGGAAGGGGTGGAGCTGGGGCAGTGAGCCCTCAACACCACCTGGACTATGCCACACCTGCTGCCTCTCCCTCCCAGCCCTAATAGCTGCTGGAGTGTCACACAGCAATTTGAAGGGCCCAGGGCTCCAGCTACTGGGAGCCCTAGGCTCCTTTAAATCACCAGGCTCCTTTGTTCCCACCCCCCGCATTGGTGGGCCTGCTATTCAGTGGTAGTTGAGTGGTATAAGTGCTGAACTAACTTGTCCAAGTGAAACTTTAGATTCTGGGTGATTTTGAAAAGGTTTGTCCCTTGTAATAACCAGCTAAACAAAATCATTAAATAATGTGGCATGAGGGCTTTTGAGATTCAGAAAGCATTATGTGACACTAACTCAATCACTAGTGTTTGCAGTAAGTTCAGCTGCACTGTGCACGTATGAGAAATCATTAATCTTCAGACAAGGTTTTGTTCAAGAAAACTAGTAGTATCATACCAAAAGCAACTTTGCACTGCCAGTCAAATGGATAATTGGCTGTCACTTGAGTGGATGTTAGGGACTATGGGTAACATAATACAAAAGAAATATATAACATTCTTGCTGAAAGAACTTGGTACAAAGAGAAATAACAAAGGTTAGTGGAAGCCAGAACACAGGAAAGTAGATACAATACTACAAATATATTAGTTTTTTTAAAGATATTCTGTGATTCTTATGTGATGACTTTTGCTCATAGCTTAGTAGCAAAGCTCTCTAAGGAGAAATCTAAGGAATTGGTAATGGTCCATCATCCAACCACTTCTTTGAAATTATTGTTAAAGGAAGTGTGTACATCCATAATGGTACCACATATACTCTATGTGCACTAAAGATGTCACAAATATACATACAGCAAAATAAGTTTGGACCTCATTAGGAAGACATGAAAATTAGCATACCACATCTCATCATTACCTCACAAAAAGAGACAAATATTATAGCAGTGTAAATTTCAGCAAATACATTGTTTTCTTTCTCAACATAAGGATGCTTTGTGAATTTTTACAAATTAATGACCAATCCTTAAACATATTTTCAAAGACCTCAACACCCACAATTGGGGCCAGATGTTCAAAAGAGGTCAGATCTTTTCAAACCTGACCTAAGACCACAAAGGGAGCTTCTGGGTGCCAAACACTTCAAAAAATCTCACCTTACTGGACTGTCTGAATGAGAGTTGAGCTCTTTTGAAAATTTTGACTTGCAAGAATAATTATGAGAGACTGAATGGAACCTAATTCTTAACACTTATTTTTCACTATATTTGATAAATACTAATTTGTTTTCATAACATTGTTTTGCATATTATTAAGCAAACACAAAAAGTGTCATATATTCTAAAATACTGATCTTTCTAGAAGGCTATTCTAAGAGGCATTACATTTTCTGAATTACATGGACTTCAAAAAGTTTGGTGATCTTTCTGCTTCTTTATAATGATGACTTCTATCAAAAGAATTCTGTAGCTATTGTGCCTTTCAATCTTAGCTCACGCAAAATCCCCACTGAAATCCCCTAGGAACTCTGACTGATTGCGTACTTCAGGATCAGGACCAGAATGCTGATAGTAAATTATTTAAGAAACAGACCATGCAGTGGAGAAGCGGAACTCTATTTCTATTTGTTCCCCGATGGCCCTCGATCTTGGTGACATGTGGGCTACATCACAGGATCTTGCATTGTAGAGTACTACATGTACCAGTATAATATACCACAGCCTGACTACTAGAGCTGTACCAAACAGACACTATAAAAATGCAGTTACAGTCCATGAATAGCCCACACAAGGAACAAGCCAACTATTGTAATAAAACCCCAAAGTGCCAATTCGTCACAGAACAGCAACTTAAGATTGAATTTCAACCCTCCAATGAAGCTGTAACTGATCCCAAAATACTAAGATTCAGCCTCTTGGCTGGTTGACCTATGCAGTCTCTCAACAGCTGGAATGAATGTGCCTATAATGGCATTTAAGACTCCCTTGGCTGTATTATTTAAATGCCAACACATGCACAGCAAAAGTAGATATAAGAGATAGGTTATGGGTTAAAGAATCTTTAAAGCTCCCTATCTTTTTGTGTACAATAGTGTTCATGTCGGAAGGTGAAGCTAAAGGAGAAAACCTGTTAAAATATTTTTGCTACGTACGGATAATTTACAACTACATGGCCCTAATCCAAAATCCAGTAAGTATCTGTTCATTGTATTGGACCCATTCATCTAGTTATATTCTAAAATCTCCTTGGTAATACATGATTTTTGTTCCTTAATTAGCATATTATGCAAATTAATAAAGGACCCAATATAGTTATTCAACTTTATAAACACTAAGAAATTGGGTTTTAGAGCAAACCTACAACATGCCACAAAAATGAACACCCATACGGCGTACAACTCTTTCCATAATGGGGGACTAATCTAAATCCACTGAAGTCAATGGGACCTTTCTTGTGATTTCACCATGCTCTGAATCAGGCCCTAATATAGGGCTAGAGAACAGAGGTGAGTGTTGGGCAAGAAAGTGGTTCAAGCCTCTAGTCTTATGAAATATGCAAAAGAATCTTCAATGTCTATTCAAAAGTTTGTTTTTAATGTGGCCCCTGAAAAGCTAAGAATATGCTCCACTTGCCTGAGATGCAAGCTTGTGGATCCAACGGGTTGAGGATTGCTAAACCTAATTCTTAGATCAATAAACTTTCTCAGGTATAAAGTGAAACACTGAACATCTGAACCTGTGTCATCTTCTATATTAGCACCCACGGCAGTGGGAAGTCTGCGTCTGCAGCATGATTCCCTCTTTTATCCCATTCTGCAGAAACCTCTCTGCATGGCTTCTGCAGAGATCTAACATCATGGAACAGGAAGGAGGTAGGGAGGGGAGTCACTTGTTTTCCCCAAACTCATGAAGAAAAAGACAAAGCAGAGTCGCTGGAAGGGGATATTTCTGTAAACAAATGTAATGGGAAAAGCCCTGAAAGCATATTAGCATCCCTTTCCCATCCCTGTAAGAGACCAAGCTTCCTCTCTTTTGGTGTAAGGTAGAAAGTGATCACACTAAGTGCACTGCATTTCCCCCATTTGCTGCTGCCATTAGTACTCAAACATATCACAACCGCAAATCTGACCACCTCAGCTTCTCATTCCATCTAGCTGAAAGGAGAAACCTGACTGACATTTAATCACTGGATATTTCTCCATAAAAACAACGACTTCCAAGTGCTTCCTGTTTAAAGTAAAGTAACACCATCCCTCAGCTTTAAGTCTAATGGTTTATTTAGCCTTGGATATGAGGGGCAGAAAGGTCAGTGAATGCCCTCTGGGCCCCCTTCCGCCGTGCAAATCAATGCAGTGCTACAACATTCTGGAAGCTCTGCTGCAATGCTTTGATTTGAGGACAAGCCAGCTGGGAAGTACTGAATCTCTAACTTCAACCTTCCTGTCTCCCCTCCGCCTTGTCTGCAGCTCTTCCT